GTGAGGGCGGCGCCCGCCTGCTGCGGGCTCAACGGTGTCGGTGTCGTCGTCGACGTCAATGTCGTCGCCGTCGTTAGCGGCGTCGTAGACGTGGACTGCGATTGGTTGGATAAATTCGTTGGGCTTGGGGTTCGCGGCCGTCGTTGGCATTCCGTGCAGCCCAGCAGAAATCGCGTTACCGCTTCTCGGGGAAGAAAGGCGTACGTTTCCGTGATCTGGAACAAAATAAGGACAATCATGAACCTCTGACACTTTCATGTCATTCTTTATCACATTCTTTTCTATTCGATATCTTTACTAGTTTGTTTCATAAGCTACTTTCAACCTAATGGTTAGGTTAGGTTTTAATGGGATTACGTTAAATATGTCGAATGTTCTGCTTGGACTATCTCAATCTACATAGATTTTTATGAAGATTATCAATGTATGTATTTATTAATTTTATCATGTGTTTACTTATTCATTCTTAATTTAACTACACATTATTTACTGGTAGGTTTAGTGACAAAATTTGTGGAGGTCCCACTAATGTCCCATATGCATCGGTGTGTCATACTTCAGAATTGAACTACATGCAGTTATCACTATGTTCAAAGTAACATGTCCTCCTCTTTCTTAATGTAGAATACGAATATTTTCTTAGATTTTCTTCATAAGTTAGGTCAGGTTAGGTCTCCCCCCAAACTAGTTAGAGGTCCTCTCCAAACCTCTCGAGAGAGCTCTCGCATTTAAAAATGATAGTCCGATTTGTAGAAATGACCCGTTTTTCGTCGTCAAACGTCACCGTCACGTGGAATCGTTTCACGCGAAACGCCCACTGGGAAAATTCATGAGCAGTAACGGAACTTTGATGCCTTTGCGAGGAGGTATTTAGCCGGAGGGATGTTCTCTGCCTCTTAATAGGAAACGTTTCTCTCCGCGGAGGTGGAGGAGCGGCATAACTTAATCAACGATGGAAGAGAGGCAATGGTGGACGTATACGCTCGTCTGTATGGGAGTGCACGGCAAGGTAATTCGATAAGATTTACTCGAGCCACGACTGCGGGACGAAGAAAAGAGTAGGTAAGAAACAGAGATAATGGCTTCTGGATCAAACTGACACACTGGCAAACTTCCTGCAACCGGTAAACGACAGTCCCGCTTCGAACTTTGATGAAAAGACCCTTCCCCGATCGGGAAAGTTAATCATTTTCCGAACTTGTTTAGGGGATGAGTAATAAGCATCGAAAGAGTTGAGGTTGATGCGTACGGACAGGCTGCAGGGGTTGCTTTTTTAGAGCTCTGGTAACGTTACCGTTGATTCAACTGAGATTCTAATACGAGGAAATAATCGGTAAAATATTTTATACGGCTTCATTTGTGAGAAAAGTCAGTTGGATTTTGTGATAGTTTGTTATGACATGTTGAGGAATTTGGACCAGTTGAAAATGTTCAATAATAAAAGTCCTATGACAGTATGCGCATCAGTGTTATAATCTGAACAAATCCTTCCATGTATGACCCTTGTTGGGTCATGACGCAACCATGACGCATCGATGGTTCAGATAAGACAAACTCGAATATACATCGACTTGAAATACAACTATAATAGTTAAAGATGACTGTAAAAGTGACCTAACAAATAAATCACCGGTCAAAAAAATCTGGTCGCTACAGCGATCACCCTTGGCAAAGGGTTTGAAGCTTTAAACGTCACAATTTCGTTCAGCATCCTACGGTATGCACCCTCCAGTCGACCACCCCGAATGAATCATGTAGCGAAAGATGGGTGGGTGGGTGCCGCG